TACGGTTCTGAATGGAAACTGAATGCGTGGCGTAATCCCAAAAACCGATCACATCCGAGTGCATAAAGAAACATGTTTGTCGCCTCGAAACGAATTTATTCTGTTCTTCAGTTAGAGCGCTTCCCATTAGTCCGGACCATGCAAGTTCGATATAGAGTACATGTGCGAAAATGCGCTCCAATCAATCGCCCGCGGCCGCTCGCCTTCCTTTGATCACTGACCTCGGCCTGAAGGCGGCCCTTATTGGTTTCAGCCATGAGCGCTTTGGCCAAAGTTTGTGTATCGTTTTGTTTCCTGTTCGGCAGGAATTTTGTATATATTCATCCAAGAAACTCCTAGGGGTGGGCTAGTGCTCGAGCATTCATTTTATCCTGGTTAACCTGCTTTGTTGGTTTGCTCGGTGTTCGCTTCTTAGTTCACTTTATTTCACTACGACAAATCTTCCACAGCAAAATGGGCTTGAAACCCTGGAAAGTCCCAGAAAGCAAGCTCGGTAACGGGCCTTTGTTTAAAACATACGCGAAATATCCTTGAAACAAGCACTGAAAGGCAAACTTGGCGCTGTGTGGCCATAGGTGCACTTTAAGACCTTTGGAAAACTACGAATTGTGACGGGTTCCATCGGCACACACAAATAACTTCTGCGCAAAGAAATAGGATCGCCCACTGCTCCGTTTTTTTGGCACAGGTTCGTTTGAAAACCCCTCTTGGCTTATGATCGTTTCTATGCAACTCCCAGCGCTAACCATAAATGTCGTCCATCTTTTTGGAAAAAAAATCTAATAATAACATCCAAATGGTGCTTGTATAGTTCCATGACTCAGAAAAGTTCACATGTCTCCACGGAATGGTATTATTCGGTGACGGAAGCTTACGAAAAGTGTACCCCCGTGGCGAAACCACCCCGACATGTTCACCTCAGCTACAGCAGGATTTCGATCGCTTTCCGAGGCTGAAGTGGACTAGACCTGGAGCTGGACATTGCAAACTAGGAAGTGGCGTTGTGAAATTTGGCGTCTGCCCCATACACTTTTTTTCCGAACCATGAAATATCCTGCTCGTTCCACATTCGTTCGAAGTGTTCCACATTCGTGCGAACTATCTCTCTTCTTTCTTTGTTCTGGGTTGCTTGATAGCTTGCCTTTAGTTCCAGAGAAAATCGTAATATCGCTGGAAATCACGCTGCTGGAGTCTTGAGACGCTTTTGTTAGACCATCGTCTACATTCATGAGTCTCTTCCTCTTTTCCCTCCGAGCGCTTCAAAGCATCACAGGGGGCGGTTCACTAACAGTAAGTGGAGCAGAACTGTGCTACCACTCTGAAAAATTCCATCCTCACCTTGAGCGAGCTCGGGCCAAAGTCCTTATCCACTAGCTCGCAGTCATTTGCTGATGTTGTTCCATGGTTTTCATTTTGATGGGAGGAGTGAATTTCTGTCGTGGTTTCAAATGTATCCGGTGCTCTTACCGATGTGCTCTACATTTAATGCGTTGGTGTCTCAGAATACTTGTCAATCGCGCTGCTCGACTAGATGATACAACGAAAAAAAACAACCCTGGACCGTCCCAA